ATATATATATTGATTATAATTATATATATATTATAATATAATTATATATATATAACTATATATATAGAATATAATTATATATAAATAGATATAATTTCCCCAGAAATATGTCTGTTTTGGTCCCAGCCACAGACATATGTCAATCACCCATCACCCCAGCTGCCAATCAATAAGGATCAATGGCTCCAAAGAGGATACTTATCAATAGAGAGAGATTCTCCCAGCCAAGAAGCTGTTGGACCCAAAGCCTGCCTTGAAACCGACTCCCAAGCCCCGCCTCCCCTCCCGCGCAAAGGATCCTGGGATTTGTAGTCTTTGCACTCAAAACACTTTGGAAGCCAGGAAAACAAAATAAAACCCTTTCTCTCCTTTCCTTCCAATTTGAAACCCCCAAATCCAAGCAATTTGCACCAAATCCAAGCAAATTTTGCATTTAGGGGAAAGATATAAGGGATTTTGGGAGAAAGGACTACATTTCCCATCATGCTCCATTTTGAGCAAGGCATGATGGGAGATGTAGTTCTTTCCCCTCTCCAGGAAGTAAACAAGGGAAAGAAAGAGCCCAGAGGCATTTCGGGCAATGCAGTCTCTTGGAAGCAGAGCCCTGATTGGTGCAAAGAACTGAGAGTTGCAGTGCACGCTGGGAGTTGTAGTGCACAATGGGAGTTGTAGTTCTGGCATGTTTGCAGCGCTAGAAGGTAAGCATAGCATTGTTTGGGGGTGATGCAGTCTCTAAGAAGCAGAGCCCTGATTGGTGCAAGCAATTGGGGGTTTTAGTGCATGCTGGGAGTTGTAGTGCACAATGGGAGTTGTAGTCCTGGAATGTAAAAGGTAAGCATTGCATTATTTGGGGGTGATGCAGTTTCTTAGAAGCAGAGCCCTGACTGGTGCAAACAATTGGGGTTTTTAGTGCATGCTGGGAGTTGTAGTGCACAATGGGAGTTGTAGTCCTGGGATGTTTGCAACATTAAAAGGTAAGCATTGCATTCTTTGGGGGCGATGCAGTCTCTTAGAAGCAGAGCCCTGACTGGTGCAAACAACTGGGAGTTGTAGTGCACACTGGGAGTTGTAGTCCTGGGATATTTGCAGCTTTAGAAGGGAAGCCTTGCATAATTTGGGGTGTTTTTTCTTTTATTTTAGGGGGGAAGGATGTCCTTCAAGAGGGAAGGAGACGACCCCAGCCAGCTCAACGTCCTCAAGGTGAGTGGGAAAGGAAGTGGGGGCCAAACAGGGGTCCATTTGGGGGAGAAATGCCATATTATTCCTTTGGAAGGGGTCCATGCTGTTTCCCATAGTGGATAGTTGCCATTTCCTGCAAAATCCAGATCCTGTGTAAACAAGCCCCCCAAAGCACTCTGCACATGCTCAGTGGGTTCCTTGCCTTTTAGTTTGCTGGAAAGCACAGGCCATCTCTGAGCCAAGGACTATGTAAACAAGCCACCCAAAGCACTCTGCACATGCTCAGTGGCTTTTTTGCCTTGCCTTTTTGCTTCCTGGAAAGCGCAGGGTGCCTCTGAGCATGCACAGAGTGCGCCCAGCCCGCAGAGTTTGGCCACAGTGCATGTACACTACATTATAATATAATATAATATATTGTATATGCATATAATGTTTATAATATTACTAGCTGTACCTGCCACACGTTGCTGTGGCCAACCTTCCCTCCTCCTTTCTCTCCTTCCTTCCTTCCCTCTTTCCTTCCTTTCCTCTTTTTCTTTCCCTTCTTCTTTCTTTCTTCCCTACCTGTTTCTTTTCTCGCTTCCTTTGCTCTGTGGTTCCTTCCTTCCTTCCTTCCTTCCTTCCTTCCTTCCTTCCTTCCTTCCTTCCTTCCTTCCCTCTTCCCTCCCTCTTCTTCTCTCTTTTCCTTCTCTCCTTCTTCCTTCCTTCTCTACCCTTCTTTCTTTCTTTCCTTCCTTCTCTCCTTCCCTCTTTCTCTCCCTCCTTCTCTCCTTCCTTCACCATTCTTTTTTTCCTTCCTTCTCTTTTTCCCTCCTTCTTCTCTCTCTCCTTCCTTCTCTACTTTTCTTTCTTTCCTTCTTTCACTCCTTCCCTCCTTCTTTCCCTCCTTCTCTCCTTCTATCTTTCTCTATCCTTTTTTCTTTCCTTCCCTCCTTCCCTCCTTCTTCTCTCCCTCTTTCTCTCCCACCTTCCTTCTCTACCTTTCTTTCTTTCCTTCCTTCTCCTCCTTCCCTTTTCCTCCCTCCTTCTCTCCTCCTTCTCCATTCTTTTTTCCTTCCTTCTCTTTTCCCCTACTTCTTCTCTCTCTCCTTCCTTCTCTTCTTTTCTTTCTTTCCTTCTTTCACTCCTTCCCTCCTTCTTTCCCTCCTTCTCTCCTTCCTTCTTTCTCTATCCTTTTTTCTTTCCTTCCCTCCTTCCCTCCTTCTTCTCTCCCTCTTTCTCTCCCACCTTCCTTCTCTACCTTTCTTTCTTTCCTTCCTTCTCTCCTTCCCTCTTTCTCTCCCTCCTTCTCTCCTTCCTTCTCCATTCTTTTTTTCCTTCCTTCTCTTTTCCCCTCCTTCTTCTCTCTCTCCTTCCTTCTCTTCTTTTCTTTCTTTCCTTCTTTCACTCCTTCCCTCCTTCTTTCCCTCCTTCTCTCCTTCCTTCTTTCTCTATCCTTCTTTTTTCTTTCCTTCCCTCCTTCCCTCCTTCTTCTCTCCCTCTTTCTCTCCCATCTTCCTTCTCTACCTTTCTTTCTTTCCTTCTTTCCTTCCTTCTCTCCTTCCCTCTTTCTCTCCCTCCTTCTCTCCTTCCTTCTCCATTCTTTTTGTCCTTCCTTCTCTTTTTCCCTCCTTCTTCTCTCTCTCCTTCCTTCTCTTCTTTTCTTTCTTTCCTTCTTTCACTCCTTCCCTCCTTCTTTCCCTCCTTCTCTCCTTCCTTCTTTCTCTATCCTTCTTTTTTCTTTCCTTCCCTCCTTCCCTCCTTCTTCTCTCCCTCTTTCTCTCCCATCTTCCTTCTCTACCTTTCTTTCTTTCCTTCTTTCCTTCCTTCTCTCCTTCCCTCTTTCTCTCCCTCCTTCTCTCCTTCCTTCTCCATTCTTTTTTCCTTCCTTCTCTTTTCCTCTCCTTCTTCTCTCTCTCCTTCCTTCTCTTCTTTTCTTTCTTTCCTTCTTTCACTCCTTCCCTCCGTCTCTCCTTCCTTCTTTCTCTATCCTTCTTTTTTCTTTCCTTCCCTCCTTCCCTCCTTCTTCTCTCCCTCTTTCTCTCCCACCTTCCTTCTCTACCTTTCTTTCTTTCCTTCCTTCTCTCCTTCCCTCTTTCTCTCCCTCCTTCTCTCCTTCCTTCACCATTCTTTTTTTCCTTCCTTCTCTTTTTCCCTCCTTCTTCTCTCTCTCCTTCCTTCTCTACTTTTCTTTCTTTCCTTCTTTCACTCCTTCCCTCCTTCTTTCCCTCCTTCTCTCCTTCTATCTTTCTCTATCCTTTTTTCTTTCCTTCCCTCCTTCCCTCCTTCTTCTCTCCCTCTTTCTCTCCCACCTTCCTTCTCTACCTTTCTTTCTTTCCTTCCTTCTCTCCTTCCCTCTTTCTCTCCCTCCTTCTCTCCTTCCTTCTCCATTCTTTTTTCCTTCCTTCTCTTTTCCCCTCCTTCTTCTCTCTCTCCTTCCTTCTCTTCTTTTCTTTCTTTCCTTCTTTCACTCCTTCCCTCCTTCTTTCCCTCCTTCTCTCCTTCCTTCTTTCTCTATCCTTCTTTTTTCTTTCCTTCCCTCCTTCCCTCCTTCTTCTCTCCCTCTTTCTCTCCCATCTTCCTTCTCTACCTTTCTTTCTTTCCTTCTTTCCTTCCTTCTCTCCTTCCCTCTTTCTCTCCCTCCTTCTCTCCTTCCTTCTCCATTCTTTTTTTCCTTCCTTCTCTTTTTCCCTCCTTCTTCTCTCCCTCCTTCCTTCTCTATCCTTCTTTTTCCTTCCCTCCTTCTTCTCTCCCTCTTTCTCTCCCTTCTTCCTTCTCTACCTTTCTTTCCTTCTTTCTCTCCCTCCTTCTCTCCTTCCTTCCTTCCTTCTTTCCTTGTATGTGTTGTGTGCACATGTAGGTATATATGTGTGTATATAGGTGTGTTTGTGTATATATGTGTGGTTTTGCGTGTGCATTGTAATGTTTTGGTTTTGTGTTGTTTTTTGGCTTTTAAGTCCCTTCTGTTGTGTTTTTCATTGTTTTTATGAGTGATGGTCACTCGTTGGCCTGAGAGGCGTCTTGTGTCCAAATTTGGCTGTTAGGAATTGTGGGAGTTGTAGTCCAAAACACCTGGAGGGAGAGCCGAAGTTTGCCCATGCCTGGTGTAGATGCACTGTGGAAATAAATGGGGTAGCAGTGGCCAGACTCTGCAGGCTGGGTGCACTCTGCGCATGCTCAGAGGTGCCCTGTGCTTCCAGCAAGCAAAAAGGCAAGGCAAGGCACCCACTGAGCATGTGCAGAGTGCTTTGGGTGGCCTGTTTGACTTAACATTTTCCTTCCTTTTAAAATCTTTTTCTTCTCCTCCAGAAAAGAAGAGTTGCGGACCTTTTGGCCAACTCTATCCCGGAAGACGAAGCCTTGCTCCTGAGAGATGGCAGGTCAGCATCCCTCTCCCTTCCTTCCTCCTTTCCTCCCGTCATCCCCTCCCTTTGCTTCCTCTTTCCCTTTCCTCCTTCCTTCTCCCAATTCGTTTTTTCTTCCATTCTTCCTCCCATCTTCCTTCTTCGCATCTTTCCTTCCTTCCTTTCTTCTCTTAATCCCTTCTCATTCTTTCCTACCTTTCTTCCCTCCTTCCTTCTTTCCCCTCCCTTCTTCCACTTCTTAATCTCTCTCCTTCCTTCCTTCTCTAAATCCCTTCTCCTCCCTTCCTCCCCTCTTTCCTTCCCTCCTTCCATCTATTTCAGTATCTCTCCTTCCTTCCTTCCTTCCTTCCTTCCTTCCTTCCTTCCTTCCTTCCTTCCTTCCTTCTCTCTCAATCCTCCCTTCCTTCCTTTTTCACCTCCCTCCTTCCACTTCTTAATCTCTCTCTCTCTTTCCTTCTCTCAATCCCTTCTCCTTCCTTTTTTCTTTCCTCCTTCCCTCCCTCCTTCCACCTATCTCAAGCTCCTTTTCCTCCTCTTAATCTTTCCTTCCTTCCTTCCTTCCTCTTCCTTCCTTCCTTTCTTCCTTCCTTCCTTCCTTCCTTCCTTCTCTTTCCCTTCTTTTCCTTCCTACCTTTCTTCCTCCTTCCTTCTTCCCTCCTTTTCCTCCCTTTCTCTCTCTCTCCCCTTCCTTTCCTTCCTTCTTCCTTCCTTCTCCTTCCTTCTCCTCTTCTCTCTTCCTTTCCTTCCTCTCCTCCCTCTTCCTTTCTCTCTCTTCCTTCCTTCTCTCTCAATCCCTTCTCCTTCCTTCCTTTCTTCCCTCCTTCCCTCCCTCCTTCCACCTATTTCAATCTCTCTCCTTCCTTCCTTTCTTCCCTCCTTCCACCTATCTCAATCTCTCTCCTTGCTTCCTTCTCTTTCCTTCCTTCCTTCTTCCTTCCTTCTTTCCACCTTTCCTTCCTTCTCCTTTCTCTCTCTTCCTTCCTTCCTTCCTTCTTCCTTCCTTCCTTCCTTCCTTCCTTCCTTCCTTCCTCCTTCTCCTTCTTCTCCTCTTTTCTTCCTTCCTCCTTCCTTCCTTCCTTCTTCCCTCCTTCTCTTCCTTCTTCTTCCTTCCTTCCTTTTCCTTCTTCCTTCTTTCCCTCTTCCTTCTTTCTTTTCCTTCTTCCCTTCCCTTCTCCTTCTCTTTCTTCCTCCTTCCCTTCCTCTCTCTCTTTCCTTCTCTCTCTTCCTTCCTTCCTTCCTTCCTTCCTCTTTCCTTCTTCCTTCCTTTCCTTCTTCTCCTTCCTTCTTCTTTCCTCTCCCTCCTTCCCTTCTTCCCTCTCTCCTTTTCCTTCTCTCAATCCCTTCTCCTTCCTTCCTTCCTTCCTTCCTTCCTTCCTTCCTTCCTTCCTTCCTTCTTCTCCTTCTTCCCTCCCTTCTTTTCTTCCCTCTCGCTCCTTCCTTCTCTCAATCCCTTCTCCTTCCTTTCTTCCCTCCTTCCCTCCCTCCTTCCACCTATCTCAGTCTCTCTCTCTCCTTCCTTCTCTCAATCCCGTCTCCTTCCTCCCTTCCTTTCCTTCTTTCTCCTCGCCTGCCAATACTCTGCCTTTTTTTTAGCAGGGAACTGAGTTCTAGTTCACTGAGTGTCTCCCTCCCCATCACCTTCTTCCCCAGGTACAGCTGCAGCGTCTGCTTCCACAGGCCAGTCTTTGACACTCTTGACATGCTTACGGTCCACCGTTCCGGGAAGAAGCACCTGCTCAGTAAGTCATAATTCTGCAGCCATTCTGGGCTGGGAATGATGGGAGTTGTAGTCAAGCACTTCCTGTAAAGGAACAGGAAGGTCTGGGATTTGACTGTTGACATGAGTAAACACTAGGGAATCGTGGGATATGTAGTTATCTTTGGGATTTGGCTGTTGACATGACTAAACACTAGGAGATCCTGGGATTTCTAATTCTCTTTGGGATTTCACTGTTGACATGACTAAACACTAGGGGACCCTGGAATTTGTAGTTCTCTTTGGGATTTGACTGTTGACATGACTAAACACTAGGGGATCCTGGGATTTGTAGTTCTCTTTGGCAGAGGAAGGCCTGGGATTTCCCTGTTGACATGACTAAACACTAGGGGATCCTGGGATTTGTAGTTCTCTTTGGCAGAGGAAGATCTGTCAAATCCCAATTTGACTGTCAAATCCCAATTTGACTGTTGACATGACTAAACACTAGGGGACCCTGGGATTTGTAGTTCTCTTTGGCAGAGAAGGTGAAGGACCAGACCCTTGAAAGGACTACAACTCCCATGGCATCAAGCCATGGCAGTTCGAGCGATATCGAACTGCATTTGTTCGACAGTGTAGGTGCAAATCGTCAATTGAAGAGTTACCAAATATCAACTTTGTAATTCATTCTCTCTCCATAAATATATATATATATCATAGGTTTGCAGAAGTTTTACGGGAAGAAGCGTTTGCTTGAGAACGAAATTGAGAAGCGCCAGCACGAAGCCTACCTCCAAGCGGAAGCATCCGGGTCACAGGTAAATCCGAACTAAACTTGGCACACGGAGCCCCTATGACCAGCAACAGATACTGAAGGTCTTGTGGGAAAATTCACCTTGATTTGGGGGAGTTGTAGTTCACCTACATCCAGAGAGCACTGTGAACCCAAACACTGATGGATCTGGACCAAACTTGGCACACAGACCTGATACGCCAAAATTTGATTACTGCAGGGGTTTGCGGGGGCGGGACTGACCTTCCTTTCTGGGAGTTGTAGTTCACCCACAACCAGAGATACTGTGACCTCCACTGATGATGGACCTGGACTAGACCTGGCACACAGAACCCCCACGACTAACTCAACCTACTGGAAGGGTTTGAGGGGACTGACTCAACATAGTGGGAGTTGTAGTTTACCCTACAGCCAGAGAGCACACTGAACCCCACCAAGGATGCATTTAGAGCAAACTTGCCCAACATAACAAACTTTAGGGATTGATATACCTTGGAAAAGTATTGATATACCTTGGGAAATGGAAAATATTTTGATACACTTTGGAAAATGTAAGATATTTTGCTGTACTTTGGAAAATGGAAAATATTTTAATACACTTTGGAAAACGTAGACTATTTTGATATACTTTGGGAAATGTAGAATATTTTTATATACTTTGGGAATTGTAGAATATTTTGATATTCCTTGGAAAATGTAGAATATTATAATATAGTTTGGAACATGGAAATATTTTGATATACTTTGGAAAATGTAAAATATTTTTGACATATTTTGCAAAAAGAATATTTTGAGATACTTTGAGAAATGTAAAATAATTTGATATACTTTGGAAAACATAAAATAAATATTTTGATATACTTTAGAAAATGTAGAATATTTTGATATACTTTGGAAAACGTAGAATATTGTGATACGCTTTGAAAAACGTAAAATATTTTAATATAGTTTGGAAAACGTAGAATATTTAGATACACTTTGGAAAATGGAAAATATTTTGATATACTTTGGAAAATGTAAAATATTTTTATGTACTTTAGAATATTTTGATATACTTTGGAAAATGTGAAATATTTTGATATACTTTGGGAAATGGAGAATATTTCAATACACTTTAGAAAATGTAGAATATTTTGATATACTTTGGAAAATGTGAAATATTTTGATATAGTTTTGAAAATGTAAAATATTTAAATATAGTTTTGAAAATGTAAAATATTTTGATATACCTTGGGAAACATAAAATATTTTGATATACTTTGGAAAATGTAAAATACTTTGTTATACTTTGGAAAATGTAGAATATTTTGATATCTTTGGAAAATGTAGAATAATATTTTGATATACTTTGGAAAATGGAAAATATTTTGATACAATTTGGAAAAAGTAAAATATTTTTATATACTTTGGAAAATGTAGAATAATTTGATATACTTTAGAAAATGTAATGTAGAATATTTTGATATACTTTGGAAAATGAAAAATATTTAGATATACTTTGGAAAATGTAGAATATTTAGATATACTTTGGAAAACGTAAAATATTTAGATATACTTTGGAAAACGTAAAATATTTTGATACACTTTGGAAAATGGAAAATATTTAGATATACTTTGGAAAATGTGAAATATTTTGATATACTTTGGAAAATGTAGAATATTTTGATACACTTTGGAAAATGTGAAATATTTTGATATACTTTGGAAAATGTAGAATATTTTGATATACTTTGGAAAACGTAGAATATTTTGATACACTTTGGAAAATGGAAAATATTTTGATACACTTTGGAAAATGGAAAATATTTAGATATACTTTGGAAAATGTAGAATATTTAGATATACTTTGGAAAATTGAGAATATGTTTATATACTTTGGAAAACGTAGAATATTTAGATACACTTTTGAAATTGGAAAATATTTTGATATACTTTGGAAAATGGAGAATATTTTTATATACTTTGGAAGACGTAAAATATTTTGATATACTTTGGAAAACGTAGAATATTTTGATATACTTTGGAAAACGTAGAATATTTTGATATACTTTGGAAAATGGAGAATATTTTTATATACTTTGGAAGACGTAAAATATTTTGATATACTTTGGAAAATGGAGAATATTTTTATATACTTTGGAAAACGTAGAATATTTTGATATACTTTGGAAAATGTAGAATATTTTGATATACTTTGGAAAACGGAAAATATTTTGATATACTTTGGAAAACGTAGAATATTTTGCTATAATTTGGAAAACATAAAGTATTTTGCTATACTTTGGAAAATGTAGAATATTTTGATATACTTTCGAAAACGTAAAATATTTTGATATACTTTAGAAAACGTAAAATATTTTGAAATACTTTTGAAATTGGAAAATATTTTGAAATATTTTGGAAAATAGAAAGTATTTTGATATACTTTAGAATATGGAAAATATTTTGATATACTTTGGAAAATGTAAAATAATATTTTGATATACTTTGGAAAATGGATAATATTTTGATATACTTTAGAAAATGTAAAATATTTAGATACACTTTGGAAAATGTAGAATATTTTGATATTCAGAATATTTTGATATATTTTGGAAAATGTGAAATATTTTGATATACTTTGGAAAATGGAAAAATATTTTGTTGCTTTTGTCTCCCTTCAGCTGACCCCGGGCCCGGCTCCTTTACTGGCATCGACCAAGAAAATCACCCAAAATGCTTTATTGAAAGCCGCCCCGTATAACAGTTGTTGTCGGCGGACGAGGTGAGGAAAAACGAGACTTCTTATTTCGTGGATACCTTTCGTGGATCCGCGGAATCATATATTGTTGTTTACTTGGGACAGGGAGACCGGAAGCGAGCCAAACCCAAGTAACTCCCGGATCCATATGTTATCGCAACACACCGAGAAGGGAGACGGGTCCGAATCCGGGAACTCTGCGCCAACGAAGGTGGAAAACAGCCCCGCTATCACAGAAACCATACAAACAGTACATCTTCCAGGGTCAGGTAATACTGGAAGGGTTTGGTGGGCATTGACCTTGAGTTTGGGAGTTGTAGTTCACCTATATCCAGAGAGCACTGTGGACTCAAAGAATGAGGGATCTGGACCAAACTTGGAATGAATATTCATAAGGCCAAATGTGAACGCTGGTGGAGTTTGGGGAAAATAGACCTTCACATTTGGGAGTTGTTGTTGCTGGGATTTATAGTTCACCTACAATCAAAAGCACTCTGAACTCCACCAATGATGGAATTGAACCAAACTTGGCACACAGAACTCCCATGATCAACAGAAAATACTAGAATAGTTTGATGGGCATTGACCTTGAATTTGGGAGTTGTAGTTCACCTACATCCAGAGAGCACTGTGGACTCAAACAACAATGGATCTGGACCAAACTTGGCATGAATACTCAATATGCCCAAATGTGAACACTGGTGGAGTTTGGGGAAAATAGACCTTCACATTTGGGAGTTTAGTTGCTGGGATTTATAGTTCACCTACAATCAAAGAGCATTCTGAACCCCACCAACTATGAAATTGAACTAAACTTGGCACACAGAACTCCCATGACCAACAGAAAATACTGGAAGGGTTTGGTGGGCATTGACCTTGAGTTTGGGAGTTGTAGTTCACCTACATCCAGAGAGCACTGTGGACTCAAACAATGATGGATCTGGACCAAACTTGGCACAAATACTCAATATGGCCAAATGTGAATGCTGGTGGAGTAAGGGGAATTGTAGTTTTGTGAGGCACCAGCACTCTTTGGCAGAGAAAGAGAAATACTGGGTTGTTGTAGGTTTTTTGGGCTATATGGCCATGTTCTGGAAGCATTCTCTCCTGACGTTTCGCCTGCATCTATGGCAGGCATCCTCACTACCTCTGAGGATGCTTGCCATAGATGGAGGCAAAACGTCAGGAGAGAATGCTTCTGGAACATGACTATATAGTCCGAAAAACCTACAACAACCCAGTGATTTCGGCCATGAAAGCCTTCGACAATACTTTAGAAAACTGCACTCTTGCTATCTGGAAAACTAAAATGAATTGATCTGGCTTTGGCACTTTGCACATGGACAGAGGAACTGTTTAGCGTCTGTCTTGATTTCAGATTCATTGAAAGGTTCTCCTTTAGAGAAGGAAGGCAGCCGTAGGAAAAAGGCCTCTTCTCCCAAAGGCAGCGAGCTCACTCCAGAAAAGCGGCGCGTCCTCGAACATTATCTGAAGCTAAAAAGGTAAGATGCCATTATTAATATTATTAGTATTTAATAACACTACGTGGGAGCGGAAATTCCTGCAGCCAGGATTAGGACATAGTGATCTTGTTAGCGGTGTACTAATCTTGCTGCGTATATAATAATAATAATAATAATAATAATAATAATAATAATAATAATAATAATAATAATAATGATGTTATTTCTTTCCTATTATTATTATTATTATTATTATTATTATTATATACACAACAAGATTGGTACATAGTGATCTTGTTAGCTGTATACTAATCTTGTTGTGTATATAATAGTAATAATAATGTTATTTCTTTTCTAATAATAATAATAATAATAATAATAATAATAATAATGTTATTTCTTTCCAAATATTATTATTATTATATACACAACAAGATTGGTACGTAGTGGTCTTGTTAGCTGTGTACTCATCCTGTTGTGTGTATAATAGTAATAATAATGTTATTTCTTTTCAAATAATAATAATAATTTATTATTATTATTATTATTATATACACAACAAGATTAGTACATAGTGATCTTGTTAGCTGTGTACTAATCTTGCTGTGTAAATAATAATAATAATAATAATAATGTTTTCTTTTCAATTAATAAATTATTATTATTATTATTATTATTATTATTAGATACACAACAAGGTTATTACATAGTGATCTTGTTAGCTGTGTACTAATCTTGTGTAAATAACAATAATAATAATAATAATAATAATAATAATAATAATAATGTTTTCTTTTCAATTAATAAATTATTATTATTATTATTATATACAAAACAAGATTAGTACATAGTGATCTTGTTAGCTGTGTACTAATCTTGTGTATATAATAATAATAATAATGTTATTTATTTTCCAATAATAGTAATAAATAATTGTTATATACACAACCAGATTAGTACGTATTAGTACTAGTGCAATAGTGTGTATGTACTAATCTTGTTGTATAAATAATAATAATAATAATAATAATAATAATAATGTTTTATAATAATAATAATAATAAATGTACAACAAGATTACCTGTGTACTAATTTGTAGTGTATATAATAATAATAATAATAATAATAATAATAATAATAAATGTACAACAAGATTACCTGTGTACTAATTGTAGTGTATATAATAATAATAATAATAATAATAATAATAAATGTACAACAAGATTACCTGTGTACTAATTGTAGTGTATATAATAATAATAATAATAATAATAATAATAATAATAATAATAAATGTACAACAAGATTACCTGTGTACTAATTGTAGTGTATATAATAATAATAATAATAATAATAATAATAATAATAAATGTACAACAAGATTACCTGTGTACTAATTGTAGTGTATATAATAATAATAATAATAATAATAATAATAATAAATGTACAACAAGATTACCTGTGTACTAATTGTAGTGTATATAATAATAATAATAATAATAATAATAATAATAATAAATGTACAACAAGATTACCTGTGTACTAATTGTAGTGAATATAATAATAATAATAATAATAATAATAATAATAAAAAATGTACAACAAGATTACCTGTGTACTAATTGTAGTGAATATAATAATAATAATAATAATAATAATAATAATAATAATAAAAAATGTACAACAAGATTACCTGTGTACTAATTTGTAGTGTATATAATAATAATAATAATAATAATAATAATAATAATAAATGTACAACAAGATTACCTGTGTACTAATTGTAGTGTATATAATAATAATAATAATAATAATAATAATAATAAATGTACAACAAGATTACCTGTGTACTAATTGTAGTGTATATAATAATAATAATAATAATAATAATAATAATAATAAATGTACAACAAGATTACCTGTGTACTAATTGTAGTGTATATAATAATAATAATAATAATAATAATAATAATAATAAATGTACAACAAGATTACCTGTGTACTAATTATAGTGTATATAATAATAATAATAATAATAATAATAATAAATGTACAACAAGATTACCTGTGTACTAATTTGTAGTGTATATAATAATAATAATAATAATAATAATAATAATAATAATAAATGTACAACAAGATTACCTGTGTACTAATTGTAGTGTATATAATAATAATAATAATAATAATAATAATAATAATAAATGTACAACAAGATTACCTGTGTACTAATTGTAGTGTATATAATAATAATAATAATAATAATAATAATAATAATAAATGTACAACAAGATTACCTGTGTACTAATTATAGTGTATATAATAATAATAATAATAATAATAATAATAAATGTACAACAAGATTACCTGTGTACTAATTTGTAGTGTATATAATAATAATAATAATAATAATAATAATAATAAATGTACAACAAGATTACCTGTGTACTAATTGTAGTGTATATTATAATAATAATAATAATAATAATAATAATAATAAATGTACAACAAGATTACCTGTGTACTAATTATAGTGTATATAATAATAATAATAATAATAATAATAATAATAAATGTACAACAAGATTACCTGTGTACTAATTGTAGTGTATATAATAATAATAATAATAATAATAATAATAAATGTACAACAAGATTACCTGTGTACTAATTGTAGTGTATATAATAATAATAATAATAATAATAATAATAATAATAAATGTACAACAAGATTACCTGTGTACTAATTTGTAGTATATATAATAATAATAATAATAATAATAATAATAATAATAATGTCATTTCTTTTCAAATAATAATAATTTATTATTATATACACAAGATTAGTACATAGTGATCTTGTTAACTGTGTACTAATCTTGTTGTATATGTACAAATCTTGTTGTGTATATAATAATAATTATAATAATAATAACAATAATTATAACAATAATAATGCTATTTATTTTCTAATAATAATAATACATTATTGTTATATACACAAGATTAGTACATAGTGATCTTGTTAGCTGTGTACTAATCTTGTTGTATATGTACTAGTCTTGTTGTGTATATAATAATAGTAATAATAGTAGTAGTAGTAGTAGTAGCAATAATAATAACAATGTTATTTATTTTCTAATAATAATAATACATTATTGTTATATACACAAGATTAGTACATAGTGATCTTGTTAGCTGTGTACTAATCTTGTTGTGTATATAATAATAATAATAGTAGTAGTAGTAGTAGCAATAATAATAACAATGTTATTTATTTTCCAATAATAATAATTATTGTTATATACACAAGATTAGTACATAGTGATCTTGTTAGCTATGTACTAATCTTGTTGTGTGTGTAATAATAATAATAATAATAATAATAATAGTAATGTTACTTATTTTCCAATAATAGTAATAAATTATTATTGTTATATACACAACAAGATTAGTACATAGTAGTACTAGTGCAATAGTGTGTATGTATGTACTAATCTTGTTGTATAAATAATAATAAATAAATAATAAATAATAATAACAACAATAATACTAGGTTCTTGTGGGTTTTTTTCGGGCTATAGGGCCATGTTCTAGAGGCATTCTCTCCTGACGTTTCGCCTGCATCTATGGCAAGCATCCTCAGAGGTAGTGAGGTCTGTTGGAAGTAGGAAAATGGGTTTATATATCTGTGGAATGGCTGGGGTGGGGCAAGGAGCTCTTCTCTGCTGGAGCTAGGTGTGAATGTTTCAACTGACCACCTTCATTAGCATTTGAAGGCCTGGCTGAGCCTGGGAAAATCTTTTGTTGAGAGGTGTTAAGATGTACCTGGTTGTTTCCTCTCTTCAAAAGCAGAAAATGTGAATGTGTGTGCATGTTTCAACTGATTCCAGCCATGAAAGCCTTCGACAACAATAATAATGTTATTTATTTTCCAATAATAATAATAATAATAAATTATTGTTATATACACAACAAGATTAGTACATAGTGATTTTGTTAGCTGTGTACTAGTCTTGTTGTGTAAATAATAATAATTATTATTATTTAAGCAGAGTAAATAAATAAATAAATAAATAATGTTATTTATTTTAAAATGAGAATAATTATTATTATTATTTCATTTCTTCCCACCTTGAGGCAGGATTTTGCATAATCAAAACACATCAACCTGTATTAATGAGTCTGACTTAATCAGCCCATACAGATGGAAGCTTTTAATTGATGTTGCAAGGAGCCTTTGCCTGCCGAAGAAGGTCTTGCAAAGGCGAATCTTCATCAAAGCGGAGTTGGTGCATTGTGTTTCCTTTACATATTTGGTTTTCCTCCCTTCCTTGGCAGCTCTGGTTGGGTCCAAGATGGCACCGGGAAATGGGTCAAAGACGAGAATGCCGAATTTGACTCCGACGAAGAGGAACCTCCACCTCTGGCGCCGTTGTGACCGCTTCACCCCTGGACGGGACCTTTGCAGAAATGCCGCCAGCCAAACACGTTCCCCAACAAAAGGTTTTATTTCAGGTGATGGATTGATGATAAAGAGGAAAATGGGTCCCAATTTTGTAGGCTGCCCTTTTCTTTCTTAGCAGTATAGAGTTGGAATCACTCGCAAGGGCCATCCAGTGCTTGAAAGCACAATCAAAGCCTTCCCTACAGATGGCCATCCAGCCTCTATTTAAAGATATCCAAAGAAGGACAAGATAGATAGATAGATAGATAGATAGATAGATAGATAGATAGATAGATAGAATCCTAAAGTTGGAAAGGAACCCAATGGTCATCCAGTCCAACCCCCTTCTGCGAGACAGGAAAGCACAATCCGATCCCTCCCAGCAGATGGCCATCCAGCCTCTGTTTAAAAACCTCCAAAGAAGGACATAATAGATAGATAGATAGATAGATAGATAGATAGATAGAATCCTAAAGTTGGAAAGGAACCCAAAGGTCATCCAGTCCAACCCCCTTCTGCGAGACAGGAAAGCACAATCCGATCCCTCCCAGCAGATGGCCATCCAGCCTCTGTTTAAAAACCTCCAAAGAAGGACATTAGATAGATAGATAGATAGATAATAGATAGATAGATAGATAGAATCCTAAAGTTGGAAAGGAACCCAATGGTCATCCAGTCCAACCCCCTTCTGCCAGGCAGTAAGGCACAATCCGATCCCTCCCAGCAGATGGCCATCCAGCCTCTGTTTAAAAACCTCCAAAGAAGGACATTAGATAGATAGATAGATAGATAGATAGATAGATAGATAGATAGATAGAATCCTAAAGTTGGAAAGGAACCCAAAGGTCATCCAGTCCAACCCCCTTCTGCCAGGCAGTAAGGCACAATCCGATCCCTCCCAGCAGATGGCCATCCAGCCTCTGTTTAAAAACCTCCAAAGAAGGACATTAGATAGATAGATAGATAGATAGATAGATAGATAGATAGATAGATAGATAGATAGATAGAATCCTAAAGTTGGAAAGGAACTCAATGGTCATCCAGTCCAACCCCCTTCTGCCAGGCAGTAAGGCACAATCCGATCCCTCCCAGCAGATGGCCATCTAGCCTCTATTTAAAGATCTCCAGATGGATGGATGGATGGATGGATGGATGGATGGATAGATAGATAGATAGATAGATAGATAGATAGATAGATAGAATCCTAAAGTTGGAAACGAACCCAATGGTCATCCAGTCCACCCCCCTTCTGCGAGACAGGAAAGCACAATCCGATCCCTCCCAGCAGATGGCCATCCAGCCTCTGTTTAAAAACCTCCAAAGAAGGACATTAGATAGATAGATAGATGGATAGATAGATGATAGATAGATAGATAGAATCCTAAAGTTGGAAAGGAACCCAATGGTCATCCAGTCCAACCCCCTTCTGCCAGGCAGTAAGGCACAATCCGATCCCTCCCAGCAGATGGCCATCCAGCCTCTGTTTAAAAACCTCCAAAGAAGGACATTAGATAGATAGATAGATAGATAGATAGATAGATAGATAGATAGATAGAATCCTAAAGTTGGAAAGGAACCCAAAGGTCATCCAGTCCAACCCCCTTCTGCCAGGCAGTAAGGCACAATCCGATCCCTCCCAGCAGATGGCCATCCAGCCTCTGTTTAAAAACCTCCAAAGAAGGACATTAGATAGATAGATAGATAGATAGATAGATAGAATCCTAAAGTTGGAAAGGAACCCAATGGTCATCCAGTCCAACCCCCTTCTGCGAGACAGGAAAGCACAATCCGATCCCTCCCAGCAGATGGCCATCCAGCCTCTGTTTAAAAACCTCCAAAGAAGGACATTAGATAGATAGATAGATAGATAGATAGATAGATAGATAGATAGATAGAATCCTAAAGTTGGAAAGGAACCCAAAGGTCATCCAGTCCAACCCCCTTCTGCCAGGCAGTAAGGCACAATCCGATCCCTCCCAGCAGATGGCCATCCAGCCTCTGTTTAAAAACCTCCAAAGAAGGACATTAGATAGATAGATAGATAGATAGATAGATAGATAGATAGATAGATAGATCCTAAAGTTGGAAAGGAACCCAAAGGTCATCCAGTCCAACCCCCTTCTGCCAGGCAGTAAGGCACAATCCGATCCCTCCCAGCAGATGGCCATCTAGCCTCTATTTAAAGATCTCCAGATGGATGGATGGATGGATGGATGGATGGATAGATAGATAGATAGATAGATAGATAGATAGATAGATAGATAGATAGATAGATAGATTCCTAAAGTTGGAAAGGATCCCAAAGGTCATCCAGTCCAACCCCCTTCTGCCAGGCAGTAAGGCACAATCCGATCCCTCCCAGCAGATGGCCATCTAGCCTCTATTTAAAGATCTCCAGATGGATGGATGGATGGATGGATGGATGGATGGATGGATGGATAGATAGATAGATAGATAGATAGATAGATAGATAGATAGATAGATAGATAGATTCCTAAAGTTGGAAAGGATCCCAAAGGTCATCCAGTTCAACCCCCTTCTGCCAGGCAGGAAGGAACAATCCAATTCCTCCCAGCAGATGGCCATCCAGCCTCTATTTAAAGATCTCCAGGTGGATGGATAGATAGATAGAATCCTAAAGTTGGAAAGGATCCCAAAGGTCATCCAGTCCAACTTCCTTCTTCCAGGCAGGAAGGCACAATCCGATCCCTCCCAGGAGATGGCCATCCAGCCTCTGTTTTGTTGTTGTTCATTCGTTCAGTCGTCTCCGACTCTTCGTGACCTCATGGACCAGCCCACGCCAGAGCTCCCTGTCGGCCGTCACCACCCCCAGCTCCTTCAAGGTCAGTCCAGGCACTTCAAGGATGCCATCCATCCATCTTGCCCTTGGTCGGCCCCTCTTCCTTTTTCCTTCCTTTCCCCAGCATAATTGTCTTCTCTAAGCTTTCCTTTCTTCTCATGATGTGGCCAAAGTACTTCATCTTTGCCTCTACTATCCTTCCCTACAATGAGCAGTCGGGCTTTATTTCCTGGAGGATGGACTGGTTGGATATTCTCGCAGTCCAAGGCACTCTGAGAACTTTCCTCCAACACCACAGTTCAAAAGCATCTATCTTCCTTCGCTCAGCCTTCCCTAAGGTCCAGCTCTCACATCCGTAGGTGACTACAGGGAAGACCATGGCTTTGACTAGGCAATGGATCTTGGTTGCCAGTCTGATGTCTCTACTCTTCACTATTTTATCGAGACTGGACATTGCTCTCCTCCCAAGAAGGAAGCGTCTTCTGACTTCCTGGCCACAGTCTGCATCTGCACTCATCTTTGAACCTAGAAATACAAACTCTGTCACGGCCTCCACGGTTTCTCCCTCTATTTTCCAGTTGTCAATCATTCTCCCTCTATTTTCCAGTTGTCAATCATTCTCCCTCTATTTTCCAGTTGTCAAGCCTCTGTTTAAAGACCTCCAAAGAAGGACATAATAGATAGATAGATAGAAAGAATTCTAAAGTTGGAAAGGATCCCAAAGGTCATCCAGTCCAACTTCCTTCTTCCAGGCAGGAAGGCACAATCCGATCCCTCCCAGCAGATGGCCATCCAGCCTCTGTTTAAAGACCTTCACAGATGGCGATGGATAGATAGATAGATAGATAGATAGATAGATAGATAGATAGATAGATAGATAGATAGATAGAATAATAGAATACTAAAGTTGGAAGGGATCCCAAGGGCCATCCAGTCCAGCCTCCTTCTGCCAGACAGGAAGGCACAATCAAAGCTCTCCCAACAGATGGCCATCCAACCTTTATTTAAAGCTCCAGATGGATGGATGGATGGATGGATGGATGGATGGATGGATGGATGGATGGATGGATAGACAGACAGACAGACAGACAGACAGACAGACAGACAGACAGACAGACAGATAGATAGATAGATAGATAGAATCCTAAAGTTGGAAACGATCCCAAAGGTCATCCAGTCCAACCCCCTTCTGCCAGGCAGGAAGGCACAATCTGATCCCTCCCAGCAGATGGCCATCCAGCCTCTATTTAAAGATATCCAGATGGATAGATAGATAGAATCCTAAAGTTGGAACGGATTCCAAGGGCCATCCAGTCCAGCCCCTTCTGCCAGGCAGGAAGGCACAGTCCGATCCCTCCCAGCAGATGGCCATCCAGCTTCTATTTAAAGATATCCAGATTGATGGATGGATGAATAGATAGATAGATAGATAGATAGATAGATAGATAGATAGATAGAATCCTAAAATTGGAAGGGATTCCAAGGGCCATCCAGTCCAACCCCTTTCTGTCAGACAGGAAGGCACAATCAAAGCCCTCCCGACAGATGGCCATTCAGCTTTTATTTAAAGATATCTGGACGGATCAATGGATAGATAGATAGATAGATAGATAGATAGATAGATAGATAGATAGATAGATAGATAGATAGATAGATACAGAAGGGATAGATAGGATTCCAAGGGCCATCCAGTCCAACCCCCTTCTGCCAGGCAGGAAGGCACAATCCGATCCCTCCCAGCAGATGGCCATCCAGCCTCTATAGATATCCAGATGAATGGATGGATGGATGGATGGATGGATGGATGGATGGATGGATGGATAGATAGATAGATAGATAGATAGATAGATAGATAGATAGATAGAATCCTAAAGTTGGAAGGGATCCCAAGGGCCATCCAGTCCAACCCCCTTCTGCCAGGCAGGAAGGCACAATCCGATCCCTCCCAGCAGATGGCCATCCAGCCTCTATTTAAAGACCTCCAGAGAAGGACATAATAGATAGATTAATAGATAGATAGAATCCTAAAGTTGGAAGGGATCCCAAGGGTCATCCAGTCCAGGCAGGAAGGCACAATCCAATCCCTCCCAGCAGATGGCCATCCACCCTCTATTTAAAGATCTCCAGATGGATGGATGGATGGATGGATGGATAGATAGATAGATAGATAGATAGATAGATAGATAGATAGATAGATAAAATTGGAACAGATTCCAAGGGCCATTCAGTCCAACCCCCTTCTGCCAGGCAGGAAAGCACAATCTGATCCCTCCCAGCAGATGACCATCCAGCCTCTATTTAAAGATAT